AACAAATATTTTAGTTCATACATAGTACATCTATAAAGTTCATAAATTATTAAATATATAAATTAGAACACAAATACAAGTTTACATATATATATAAAACAAAATATGCATGTATAATTAATTTGCATAGAAAATATAAAAATTAACTTTAAATTTAATAACTACTCAATTAAAATTATCTATGTGTATCAATATTAATAAAAATATATATTTTTTTTAATTTTTTTTATAAAAACTTATCATAAAATGGTACAACTAATACACCTTAACCCATGACCAAACTTAGAAAAATCCTTAGTAAAATAAGTATACAACGTTAGACTAAAATTTTAATTTGATTGTATGAAAAATTTTCTCAGCCTTTCCTTCACCAAACATATGAACCTTCCATTTCCCTCTCCTCAACTCTCTAGTTTATTTTAACTTTTATTTTAATTAATAAAATTACTAAACTTTAATTAATTTTTTGTAATATTTTTTTATCAAATTTATTTAATTTGATAGAAAAATACAATATTTCCCTTCCTTCTACTTTCTGCATCTTAATCTATTTAAATGAAGCTAATACTACTAATTCTTTCCTTCTGTTCTTTTTCGTTCCCTTTCCTTCGATGTATATTAACTTTTATTTAAACATATTGTTAGAATTTTCATACTTTAATACAATAATAAATAAAAGATAAAATTAAAACTTTTAGTTTTATTTTTCTTTATAGAATTATCAATATGCAATCTTTTCTTCCCACGTTTCTTAAGCAAAAACTCTCCCAACTTTTTTCAATATGAGACTTATTTGACACTTTTTTTTCTAATTTTTTCAATATTAATTTTTTTTTATCAAATATTAAAAAGTTAACAAGTTAATAAAATTTAGCAATGTTATAGTTACAATATCATATAAAATTATAAGTTCACATGTCATTATAATATATGTAGGGTTGTTAATAAATAGAACAGTTAATGAGTAACTCAAAACTAATTAAGTAAAACTTGACTCAACCTCAACTCATTTGGTAAATCAATCAAGCTCAAGTTTAACATCAAACTCAATACAATAAGTTTTAGCTTAAACTTTCATGAGTATTAAATTTAAAATTTAAAATTATATTGTATATATTTATTAAATTTAAATATATAATAACTTATAAACATAGCAAGGGTTAAAAAGATTATTTAAATAAATTATATATGTTTAGTTATAATTATTAATAAAAATATTTAAATGAAGTTTATGATTGTTTTTTATTATTGGATTTAATATTTAATATGTTTAAGCTTTTAATATTACAATATTTTTGAAAGATGTAAAAAAATTATAATTAAATAATTAATTATTAAAATTTTGTGAAATGACAAGAAAAAACTGAAATCCAAATTAAAGTATTCATTGGTTCGAGCTCATGAGTGAGCTTAAGCTCGCCCAAATACTCACAAGTTTAAGCACAAATTCAATTATTTTGAATTCGATAAATACTGGAACTCAACTCAACCTCTAATTTTTAAGCTAAGTTTGAGCATAAATATCTAAAATTCAACTTTTCTGAATTTGTCAACAGCCCTAATAACATATTATTAAATGTGTGAATTCCTATCATATTAAGAGTAAAATGAAATAAGTCAATCCTATAATAACATGTTATAATTATAAGTTACGATATTTTGTGATATTATAATTATATTATTTTTCAAATTAAAGTTTAACAACATTTTATTATAAAACTTAATAACTTTTCATACTATATATGTTACAAAATTTTAACAAATTGTATTCTATTTTTCATTTTCCCACTTTCATTTTGTATGTAAGTTGGTCTTTTTATTTATTACTGTGTATGGTAGTTTGGCAGCTAAGAAAATCAGAGAGAAATCCAATAATATTTGGTAAAATCCTCAAATTCATCTTAAAAAAATATCTGTTGGGATATATCCACTACTCAAAAAAAATATAGGGATAAATTGTCCCTTTAAATCATAAATCAATACAAATTACTCATTTTTCAATGTTTTCTATTAAAAAATATTGACGTGACAAAGAAAATTCTAACATTTTTTATTGTAAAAAGAATAATTTATATTGATTTATGATTTAAAAAAATAATTTATCTTTAATTTTTAAAAAAAATAAATATATCCCTATCAATATTTTTTAAAAGTAAATTTAAATGTCCTATCATAATATTTGCGATGGACATCATACTTTTAGCGTTCATTGAATGTCCCTCATGGGCAATATGGTTTGAAGTTAATTTTAAAAGTTTGGTCAAAAAGTTGGTAGGTTGATTTTAAAGTTGATGTGATATTTTGCGGCACTTAAGATAAGATTGCACACGTACAATTAATGATGAAATCATTTTAGCATATTCAAAATTCAAAGATGGATTGGTGGTCCTTACCACCTTTCCTTTGGTACTCTTGATTCCTTTTGTGGTAATCCGGTGTGCCATACCAATTTTTTTTTTATTAAAAGCTCAATTTAATTCCTATATTTTGGTAAAAGGTCTTTTTTATCCTTATACTTTAAAATTTTCTTTTCGCTTATATGACCCGTTCGATAACAATATTGCCTGTATTTTCCTTTATATAAATAACGAGAAAAATTCAACCTTAGAAAAAAAGGTGATATGACATCTCTAAGGATTAGATATGATATGTAATTTTAATAAATATGTTCATATAAATTAAAATGAGAAAATTGAGTAGAATAAGTGGTTATTCTTCAAGATAAGATTTCTTACCAGTCTTCGATCTCCTTCCCGTGGACCCTCTAATATGTAATTAGTGATTTATTAATTTAAATTAAAAAATTTTGATTCTTTTTAAATAAAATCAAGAGTATAAATCTTATAAATAAAAAAATATGCATGAAAAAAATTTATTTTATAAGATTTAATACGACACAAATTTAAATTAATTGATTTAATATAATTATCGAATATCAAAAAATTAATAATAAAAAATTCCTTTAACACATAATCTTGTTAAAAAAAGAAAGAAAAAAGAGGAGCATATTAATATTAATAAAATATAAAAATTAATTATAAAATTAAAATTGCAAGCATTTGCCCTTAAACAACTTTCTTTAACTTAGAATTGTGTTTTTGGACTCAATGGTTCAACCTCAAACTTTAAATATTTGGATGAGGTGGTCGGAGTTTCGAGTTCTATCATGGTCATGAATTCCACCAAAAAGCGATCTAATGACTGCGCGTTTCATTTGAGGGGTGAAATGGTCGCTCGATCTAAAAATCGTATCTTTAATTACTAACAATTAATTCAAATTAACGCTGAAAAAAAAAAAAAAAAAACTTTCTTCAACCTGCAGCCTCCTCCTTCTCTCTCCTTGCCGCCTCTCTTCTTCTGCAAACTGCAACCAACAAACATTTTCCCCTCATTTTCCTCTCCATCTATGTTCCTCGTCATCGCGCAATGAATCTAAGGGTGGGCCGAGAAGAAATCAACATGAATTGATCCCTAGTTTTTTAGTTTTGCTCCCTCGCCTGAAATCAACCCCATCTTCCCTTTCATCTCACCGCACGCAACGTTAGAACCATCCGAAACATTTCCAAGCGAGTTAAAATGGAGAAGCCTCGATTAAGATCAAAGAAAGGAGAAGAAGAATATCCTAATTGTATTTACCGCGAGGAAAATTGGCTGGGCTCTTGTTCAATTGGGTTCGATCGTTTTTTGTATGGTTGGTACTTGGAATTAGCAAATTCCTAACAATTTTTTCTTGACCGATTGTAGACAACATTTATTATTTTTTAATAATTAAACTATCCCTTTGGAAGTAAGTCCATTATTCCGTCATAATGAGTTAAAAATGACAAAAAATATATATCATACATAAAGACATATATCTATCTTTATTTCTTTTTGTTCATCCTTTTTGGATATGCAACAAAAAAAGTATGAATTAACAAATAAAAAAGAAAAAAAGCCTTTTTTTATGAAAAGGAAAACAAACCTTGAATACACATCTGGCAGTCAAGATTTCATGATATCAACATAGCATACAATACTTCAAACTTAAAGGATTTATGATGAGGACCATTCTTTAGACCTCCTTTAGACCTCAGCAAAATAGAAATGACCACAAAGCTAATTCTTTTCTTTTTATGATGAAAAACTTTAATTTCGGCTATATCAAAATAACAATTAGTAGCTATCATTTTGTACTTAACTTTTTGATCTAATAGTATTAATCATCTTGATAAATGCATTCCCAATTCCCTTAGGGCTGAGTTTGATCCCATTCCCCATTTCAAATCTGTTAAAAAAAAAAAAAAGTAGTAGCCATTCGTATTAGAATCTAAAAATAAAAACAGAACCCATGTGCTCCAATAGTAGCCACGTTACCTTTAGGCAGTAGGTGGATTGTACCTCTTTTAATTGTTTGATCATTTTCAAATATAAACAGATACTAACACTAACCATAATTATTTTTTATTGTAAAAAAATAAAAAAATAAAAAAAGTTGAATTATAGCATGTTCCTTTCTGTCTCAAAATGCCCTTTTTCTTCTTTTCTCTCACTTCTCTAAGAAACTCTATCCTACCACAGTTTTTTTACCTATTTTGCCCTCTATTATTTATTTCTCTTTTTCTTCTAAATACTTTGGCTTTTTGATCTTTTTATAAAAATATTTGTTTAGTTTTCTTTTTAAGCCTTGAACTTTGCTCTTCTCTTTATTTTTAATAAATGGTAAAATTGGTATTTAAAGTTTAAATCTTTTAACTGAAGTGATTTGCCTCTTTTACCCTCAGGTTTTGTTCCAGTTTAGTATCTTGAGTTTGGTTTTTTTTATCTTTCTGAAGGTTAAAACATTACTGCTTTGTTCAGTTATATAAGGGGTAACATATTTTTTTATGTAATTTTTATTTATTACTAAATAAATGAATATATTAAAATATTATGATTTAAAAAAATAAATAAATTTAAATAACGTATCATAAAAAAATAAAGATAAAAAGATTCGCTTTAAGTCATTTTCATTGATTGTTTCCCATTTCATGCTTTGCCTCCAGAAGCGGAATGTGAATTGCACAAGAGCTAGCTGGCAAGCAGAAATTCAGAGTCGGCTGGGTCAAATGGTTTTCGTTTCCCCGTCCATTCCAATTCCTCTCCTGCACAGGATAGCCCTTCTTCAACCACAGCCAATCACCTTCTTCTCACTGCCGGTCACTCCAGCCTTCCCTGCTCCTCTTCTTCCTCCTCAGCCAGACACTTCTAGTTGTTCTCCGTTTCACCGTTCTCACTCCCTGTTGAGATGGTGAACAAGAAGGAGAGACGGTGAGAGCGCCGGCCCAGACTCAAAGAGAAAAGATCACCGCCAGCTCTGCGTCTTCTCCTACGATGAGTATGAGTCGAATCCGATTAGATCCATCGGCAAAGTGGGAGAACCGGGAGCATGGGAGAGAGAATGATGTTGGGAAGAATGGTGGAGGTTCTTCACCAGGGGCACGGTGAGAGTTTTTTTTTTTTCTTTTTCTATTTTTTTATTAGTCTTTTTATTTGTCATTTTCTCTTTGGTTTGCATTTGTATTTAGTAGATTTTTGTTACAAGAAATCAGAGGATATGGACAAGGAGGCACTTGTTCAATTGAATTTTTTGGGTAAACCAGTGAAAACAAAGAAAGCGTAGGGAAGAGCATGGACGGAGCCAGAAATTAAAGTTAGAGGGGGCAAGGGGAAAGGTCAAAATTTTGTTCGAGTTATGTATTAGTTCACGTTAACATAATTTAAATTAATTTTTATATTGATCACTTATTTTACGGATGTATCACTTATTTATACATGTAAAACTTTGAATTAATTACATATATTTAGTTTATCAAGAAAATTAGATATATTTAGTTATTTTTGAATGATATATACTTTAAATCCCTAAAAACAAGAATAAGAATATAGTTTATTTTTTTAAATAGCTACTTATATCAAAACAACTTTAAGTTTGAAATGTATGATTTATATAAATAGAATAAATTTAACATTATTTTCATGGTATATAAATTGTACAAAAAAGTTATATATAACTAATGTAAAAACTTATATAAGTTATATTAATGTAATTAATTAAATTTTAACTATTTTTTAATATTTTTTCTTACCTAGACCAAATTATCATATCTTAAAAATTAATCTTAAGGAGAGAAACAATTCCTTTACCTAAATCCTAATTTTTTATATATATATTTGAAATGGTCCCAATAGTTTAAAACATCTAAAAACAAAATTTTGTAGAAAATAAAAATTAATGTACCATATTTGAAAATTTTCAAAACCTTAGGGGGGGCAGCTGCCCCCCCTTGTCCTACGTTGGCTCCGTCCCTGGGGAAGAGAATGGCATCATCCAATCATATGGTGGTACTTTGTTTTCTTAACCTGTTATACATTATCATGTTCTGTGGATACTTTTATATGGGAAATGTGTTTTATTGTTATTTCTTTGGTTAATTTCTGCCATTGGGTGGTTGTGTATCATACTATCTTCTATGGTCAAACAACCTTCATATGGTTTATTGTTACTTCTATTGTGTTTTGATTCACGACTGCATGAAGTTTTTTATTTTGTTTCTTTTGGCTAGCTTAGTTTTCACAAAAGGAAGGTGGAAAATTTTTATATGGTTTGTGTATTAGAGCTGTAGAATGTACTTCCGGGTCATATTTGTATCCTTTTTGTGGCTTTCTACAACTTAGCTAGAGAATTTTAACCCAGGACCCTGCTCTTTCATTATCTAAGAGAAGAAGTAACTTTATCTGAAGACCTGAAGATCGTTATATTTAGGTACCATTCTTAGTTTGCCTAATTCCTTTAAATTTCTATGTGTTCATTCTCTGTTAATTTGTTCTAACAAGTAGAGAACATGTTCATCATTCATAGGAAGAATTTCTTATGGTGAGGTTGCAGGCTGCAACTTTTTATCAATCTGCAGATGGGTCTAAATTGGATAATTGTGTTGAAAATTTGTAGTAATGCTACTCACTCAATAATATTTTGGTTCTCATTTTGTCCTAGCTCTTTTTTAAAGGGAACTAATGTTCTTGCCTTATGCTTTCTTGCATTACAGTTGTTAATTTTGGAGTACTTCAGTCATTCATCTGTTTACCATTTAAAATCCCTATTTAAATGGACAACCAACCAAAGTACATCCTTCTCCAAATTCGAGTTACTATTTTTCTTTGAATAGAATAGGAGTTGCATATGTTTGCTCGATTCGGCATGTGGGACCATTTTCTATTAGATTACTAAACATGAAATACAGATACTGATGTGAAGAAGAATGGATTGATTGCATTTGAGGAGGTTGTTCTCCCTGCATCATCATTTTCCCTACGTATGTCCAAATGACCTCAAAGCATTTGTAAAAATAGAGTAGGACTTTGATCCATTAAAGGAAAGTCATATGTAACCAACCTCAAATAATTTTGGACTAGAAACTTAGTTGAGTAGTCAACAATAGGCACTATAATGGTCTTGGTTGATTTGGAACTGAGATTGTTTTATAGATTTGTGAATTGCTTAAAAGGATGCTTTGGGTTATTTGGATATTGGACATGATGTATATAGCTAACTTGAAGTTTTGTATTGAGGAGATCAGTTAATTGGTATCAGATTTTCAACTTTCTTCTCTTTGTTTTATGCAAATAGAAGGGTGACTTACTGGGTTTGAGGAGGTGGAGAATGTTTTGGAGTTCTAGAGTTGTATTCATTGTTCTTTTTATTGTCACTTACTACTTGAGTTTCTTTTTCCTGAATATTTTTTCAACTTGATTTCTAGATTGTTTTTATCTATTTATTGTCTCTTTATTGAGCAGTTTCTTGGTTCTCCATTTTCACCAATGGAATGTGTTGTTTACAACGTCTTATGACAGTGTTAGCCAATGAAAGTTTACGAATAAATTTATGTTAACAAATTGTCATGGAAAATGGATTAATGCAATGCTGACTGGCTAGATAATGCAATAATGATTTTGCTTTCTATAATGTTTTTTCCCTCTCTCTCTTACTATTCCTTTCTAGTTTTCAATGTACTGGTAGGTTTCTTGTTCTGTGCTTTAAATATTATTCATAGAAACATGATTCCAGTCCTATTTATGCCTGATTAACTGAGAACCATAATTTGCTAAAGATTGCATCTGCTAAAAATGGCATTGGCAGCCATACTCTCTCTATCATTCATCTTCTGCAGTAGGGTTCTAAGAGAAAAGTTGGAAGTCTCCAGTTTGGTTTTTGTTTGAAATCTTAAAATGGGAAACTTGGGTAGGTTGAGCTAAGCACTCAAATCGTGTTTATTTGAAGAAGCTATTATTATTTTTTTTTTTTTGGCAGGATTTGGTGTTTGAAACCAAATGAAGTATGATATTATTTAGTTAATGAGAAGATGGAATTTTTGCTGATTCTTATTTATTTTTTGGAATCTTTTCTTGCAATTTCTTCTTGTGGCAATTAAATTCAAGATTAAGTGAACATTTTTGTTTTTACTAAAATGAAGGTTAGATTGATTAGTATGTATCTTTGTATTTGCTCAAGTGGATACCTAGAACTGAAAGATTCCTGACTCATTATGGAGTCCAGTTTTCTACTATTTGGGGTCTTGAGAATCAAGGGTGGCAAATGGGAGAAATTCAATCCCAATCGGACAATTATAGATCTTTCTCATCACTGGGCCATCTGTACAACCACTGTGTTTCATTCAGGTGGAAAGGGTGACAGGTAGACAAATTATGTCAAAACCCACAAGCTTGAAATACGCACCCACACCCCGCAGAGCGGGGTGGAACAAGCTAGTCGTGAATGGAAATAACAAATCCAAATATGAAATCATGGGCACAGACCTAAGCAGGAAATCGTTTGTGGAAGCAGCAACAGGGTAAGCAATCTGGGGGTAGCTTTTGCAGTTTTTTTTAGAAGCAAAAGAAGGTGGAAATAGCAAATCCAAAACAAAATCATGGGCATAGACCTAAACAGGAAATCGTCAGCGGAAGCAATGCTCAGTCCTTGTTATTGAAAGCCCATTTAATCGGTGTAGTTGATTGTTGATTGATATAGTTTAATATTATCCTTCCTTCCGATGGTGGGACCATTGAACTTAATATTGCGGCACGTCTGTAAGGGTGGGTTGGTTGGTGGCATACGTGTATGGTGGGAACATTGAACTTAATAATGTGGAAGTAACGGTGGGTCCGTTGGTGGCATACGTGCACTATAAATACATATTTGCATGCTTAGGAGTTAGGCGAGCCGCCAACCATGGGGAGGGGGATCTTCTTTGTCATCGCTCTTTTCAGCGTCCTAGCCGTGGTTTTATCCTATGACGGCATGGATCCACTAATCGGAAACGCATCTCATTATACTCCGACTCGTTTCGCACGAACCGCCTGTGAAGGTAAGATCGGTTCATCGAAGCTTCCCCCGTAAGTTTACCCTGTTGCAGTAGCTGAAAATTTATGGGATCGTGGAGCTGGATGCGGGAGAACATATCGTGTCCGGTGCATTAGCGACGGAGCACCGCGTTTCTGCAAGACTGGAGTAGAAATCAAGGTTCGTATTCAGGACAGGGCAGCAACCATGCGGAGCCAAGCTTCGGAGTATGGCGCTGATATGATAATCGCAGAATCAGGTTTCAGAGAGATTGCAGATCCTTTTTCAAGTTCAGTTCCGATTCAGTACGAGGAGGTTGCATAGATCTGATTATTACTATAATATTAGTTAGTTTTTTTTTTTTTTTTTTAAATAAAATAAGTAGAAGAGATTGTTATGAAGGCTTCATGCACTGTGTTTTAGTTCTCCAAGTTTTCATCGGAAGGTTTTGTTAGTATGGTTTCTAACGAATATGTACATGTAGGAAAGGAAAAAGATAGTGTAAATGTTATTGGATTTTTTTTTGTCTTTCATTTGTTGTTCCTGTCCAGCTTTAATCATTTAATTCCCTTTGGAAGTAGGCCCCCTCCTTTAACAGGGTGAAAGAGGCACAATTGCATCTGAGTTTCCCTTTAAAGACCCAATCATGGGTTTCAATTCTCCAAAATTGTACTCACAGGATGTTGGCTTTTTTTTTTGGGGTATGCATGCTCTCTTTTGGGAGAAGGTAAGGTCTTTTGGCTCCTGAGTCAATTTCCCTGCTGCTGCTGCTGTTGTTATTATTGTTGGTTTTTTTAATAGATTTAGAATACATAGTTTTATTCTTTTGTGTTTGTTTATTTTATTTGATTCCTCTGCAACCGAATGAAATGTTAACGTTTTTCTTCAACTGGGATTCGTTGCTGTGTTGTGCTTTCTTTTCTAATTCAGGATATCTGCCCTGTTTTACCTGGATTGATGTGATGAGATTTTGATTTGTAGTTGTGTTTGAATCTTTAGGGTAGATCTTAGCGAAAGGCAGTGTTGTGCTTTCTTTTCTGATTCAGAATATCTGCCCTGTTTTACCTGGGTTGGTGTGATGAGATTTTGATTTGTAGTTGTGTTTGAATTTTTAGGGTAGATCTTAGGGAAAGGCAGTAGTTTTTAGAGTAGATCTTGATACCGTGTCATGTGTGTTTCAAATTACTGATGCATATCTTCTATGTTTCACTACAAAGTGAATGATAACATGTAAAATGTTTGTCCATTTATCAACAAGACATTTTAAGGTTCAAAGCTTCTTTCTTTATTGGCTTTCCTTTTGTAGAAGTAGGGAATTCAAATGTCATAAACTGCTGGTGCTGGTGAAGTGAAGTGTCCATCTATGACAGATCATTAGTTTTCAATGGAAAGAGGAAATTCAAATATTCTATTGCTAGATTATAAGTTTACATTAATTAGGACATTGAATAATGGAACTCATTGGTCATACGGCAAATAATATAAACATGTTCTTATTGAAGTGATGATGTCCTGAGTATCAGTATAAGAACTTCAGTAAAAATGACC